TGATGCACCATAGAAAAGTGCCATTTGTCATGATAATTATTTTTGAACTTTTTTAAATGAAATAGAAAAATATATATTGTAGACATGTTAAATCAAAATTTCAGTGATGATGTACCATAGATAAGTGGTAATTGTCATAATCGCTATTTTTGAACTTTTTTGAGTTTCTTTAAAGCAAATTGCTAAAAATATATATTCTAAACATGTTAAATTAAAAATTCAGTGAGGATGTATCATAGATAGGTGACAATTGTCATAATCGCTATTTTTGAACTTTTTTCAATTTTTTTAAAGGAAATAGCAAAAAATATATATTCTAACCATGTTAAATTAAAAATTCAGTGAGGATGTATGATAGATATGTGACAATTGTCATAATCGCTATTTTTGAACTTTTTCAAATTTTTTTAAAGGAAATATCTAAAAATATATATTCTAAACATGTTAAATTAAAAATTCAGTGAGGATGTATCATAGATAGGTGACAATTGTCATAATCGCTATTTTTGAACTTTTTCAAATTTTTTTAAAGGAAATAGCTAAAAATATATATTCTAAACATGTTAAATTAAAATTTCAGTGAGGATGTATCATAGATAGGTGACAATTGTCATAATCGCTATTTTTAAACTTTTTCAAATTTTTTTAAAGGAAACATCTTAAAATATATATTCTAAACATGTTAAATTTAAAATTCAGTGAGGATGTATCATATATAGGTGACAATTGTCATAATCGCTATTTTTGAACTTTTTCAAATTTTTTTAAAGGAAATATCTAAAAATATATATTCTAAACATGTTAAATTAAAAATTCAGTGAGGATGTATCATAGATAGGTGACAATTGTCATAATCGCTATTTTTGAACTTTTTCAAATTTTTTTAAAGGAAATAGCTAAAAATATATATTGTAAAGATGTTAAAATAAAATTTCAGTGAAGATGTACCATAGAAAAGTGACAATTGTCATAATTGCTATTTTTGAACTTTTTCAAATTTTTTTAAAGGAAATAGCTAAAAATATATATTCTAAACATGTTAAATTAAAATTTCAGTGAGGATGTATCATAGATAGGTGACAATTGTCATAATCGCTATTTTTAAACTTTTTCAAATTTTTTTAAAGGAAATATCTAAAAATATATATTCTAAACATGTTAAATTAAAAATTCAGTGAGGATGTATCATAGATAGAAGACAATTGTCATAATCGATATTTTTGAACTTTTTCAAATTTTTTTAAAGGAAATAGCTAAAAATATATATTGTAAAGATGTTAAAATAAAATTTCAGTGAAGATGTACCATAGAAAAGTGACAATTGTCATAATCGCTATTTTTGAACTTTTTCAAATTTTTTTAAAGGAAATAGCTAAAAATATATATTCTAAACATGTTAAATTAAAATTTCAGTGAGGATGTATCATAGATAGGTGACAATTGTCATAATCGCTATTTTTAAACTTTTTCAAATTTTTTTAAAGGAAATATCTAAAAATATATATTCTAAACATGTTAAATTAAAAATTCAGTGAGGATGTATCATAGATAGGTAACAATTGTCATAATCGCTATTTTTGAACTTTTTCAAATTTTTTTAAAGGAAATAGCTAAAAATATATATTGTAAAGATGTTAAAATAAAATTTCAGTGAAGATGTACCATAGAAAAGTGACAATTGTCATAATCGCTATTTTTGAACTTTTTTCAATTATTTTAAAGGAAATAGGAAAAAATATATATTATAAAAATGTTAAATTAAAAATTCAGTGAGGATGTATCATAGATATGTGACAATTGTCATAATCGCTATTTTTGAACTTTTTCAAATTTTTTTAAAGGAAACATCTTAAAATATATATTCTAAACATATTAAATTTAAAATTCAGTGAGGATGTATCATATATAGATGACAATTGTCATAATCACTATTTTTGAACTTTTTCAAATTTTTTTAAAGGAAATATCTAAAAATATATATTCTAAACATGTTAAATTAAAAATTCAGTGAGGATGTATCATAGATAAATGACTTTAACATGTTTAGAATATATATTTTTAGCTATCTCCTTTAAAAAAATTTGAAAAAGTTCAAAAATAGCGATTATGACAATTGTCACCTATCTATGATACATCCTCACTGAAATTTTAATTTAACATGTTTAGAATATATATTTTTAGCTATTTCCTTTAAAAAAATTTGAAAAAGTTCAAAAATAGCGATTATGACAATTGTCACCTATCTATGATACATCCTCACTGAATTTTTAATTTAACATGTTTAGAATATATATTTTTAGATATTTCCTTTAAAAAAATTTGAAAAAGTTCAAAAATAGCGATTATGACAATTGTCACCTATCTATGATACATCCTCACTGAATTTTTAATTTAACATGTTTAGAATATATATTTTTAGATATTTCCTTTAAAAAAATTTGAAAAAGTTTAAAAATAGCGATTATGACAATTGTCACCTATCTATGATACATCCTCACTGAAATTTTAATTTAACATGTTTAGAATATATATTTTTAGCTATTTCCTTTAAAAAAATTTGAAAAAGTTCAAAAATAGCGATTATGACAATTGTCACCTATCTATGATACATCCTCACTGAATTTTTAATTTAACATGTTTAGAATATATATTTTTAGATATTTCCTTAAAAAAAATTTGAAAAAGTTCAAAAATAGCGATTATGACAATTGTCACCTATCTATGATACATCCTCACTGAATTTTTAATTTAACATGTTTGGAATATATATTTTTAGATATTTCCTTTAAAAAAATTTGAAAAAGTTCAAAAATAGCGATTATGACAATTGTCACCTATATATGATACATCCTCACTGAATTTTTAATTTAACATGTTTAGAATATATATTTTTAGCTATTTGCTTTAAAAAAATTGAAAAAAGTTGAAAAATAGTGATTATGACAATTGTCACCTATCTATGATACATCCTCACTGAATTTTTAATTTAACATGTTTAGAATATATATTTTTAGCTATTTCCTTTAAAAAAATTTGAAAAAGTTCAAAATCAGCGATTATGACATTTGTCACCTATATATGATACATCCTCACTGAATTTTTAATTTAACATGTTTAGAATATATATTTTTATCTATTTCATTTAAAAAAGTTCAAAAATAATTATCATGACAAATGGCACTTTTCTATGGTACATCAATTAAAAATTTTAAAATATAACTATGATGAATAGTTAATCAGAGCATTATAATTTAAAGAAGCTTTAAGTAACTTTCCCGCCTATAATATTAATATATACTAAATGTTATTTGACTTTTGGTCGAAAAAAATGATCTAGATAATTGGGTTAGGGGTGAAAAAAAGCAACCCTAACTTTAAGTCGTCTTTAAAAAAAAAGATCCATATTTTGGGTCGGATTGAATAAAACGACCCGATGTTTGAGTCTGAGTCAGAAAAACGACCCAAACTTTGAGTTGGAGTCGAAAAATACGACCCAAACTTCAAGTTTGAGTCAAAAAATACGACCCAAACTTCATGTTTTAGTCGAAAAAAACAACCCAAACTTCAAGTTTGAGTCGAAAAATATGACCCAAACTTCAAGTTTAAGTCGAAAAATACGACCCAAATTTTGAGTCGGAGTCGTAAAAAACGACCCATATTTTGAGTCGAGGTCGTTTTTTCGGCTTGGACTTGGGTCGGAGTCGAAAAAACGACCCATATTTTGGGTCGAAGTCGTTTTTTTCGGCTTGAACTCTGGTCGAAGTCGTAAAAAACGACCAAAACTTTGAGTTGGAGTCGAAAAAAACGACCCAAAATTTGAGTGAGCTCTGTTCGAGCCGACTCGGCTAAGCCGATTAACAACACTAATCAAAGACGATATTGGGAACGATAATAGTCTTTACAACATTATATGATATTGTTATTATTGTTTTTTTTTAAATATTACCCTAATGTGATGATACAGTATACTTTTTTATTTTTATATTGATTTGCATATGCTGGTATATAAATAATAAATAAACGATCATTTAAAAAAAAAATTGTATATTTCGTCTAATAGCATGATATTTATTTATATGTAATATAAATGTTGATTCTAAATCCCAAGAGTATAGGCTAATTAATAATATTTATAAAGATATGATTTTTTAGAAAAATAAGAGTCAACCTTGACTATAAAAGGGGGAAAAAATTCCCGTAACTACATAGGTGGAGTCTATTTTACCCCAAATTTTGATTAGCTATATCTCATAACATATTAAGTTTGAATTATAAAATTTTAAATAAATATTAGAGATAATAAACACATAATATTAGGTTAATATATACTTCCAAAATAAAGTTATACAAATTTATAAGTTGTTGATATAATTTTTTTTTGAGACCTTAAATCACTTATGGTTGTCCGGGTTTTTTTTCCTGGGACTTATTTTCCCCTATATTTAATTTTAAATCTAAAAAATGGGGAATTTATTTCCGGGGAATATTTTTCCATGTAACTATTTTCCAGGGGATTTTTTTCCTTTAGTATTTCTTTCCGGGCATTTTTTCTCCGCTTAACCGTCACTTAGTATTGCGGACATATATTGCATTAACACTATCATGACTATTATCATCTTATTTTTATTAAAAAAAATTATAAACTTGCCTGCTCTGAGTAATTTACAAAATAACAAGTTTTTATTAGTTTCCTAAAGAAACACGACAACTGTATTTTTTTTATACTTCACTCTTTATTATCCCCCCCCCCCCTTTTAACTAATTTTTTGTAAATTCACTAGAATATTAATATATTTTAATTTTTTTTTATTCATTTCCTATTTTTATTTATAATCTTATAAAATTTATGATTTATAATTTACTTTTTATATAAAAACATATGTCATAATCCGAAATCATGATAAATGTAAATCTCATTTTATTTTTTATTATTTTTATAAATTACAAATTAAAACAAAATAATATTTATATTATCAAAAAGAAATAAATTTTGAAAAGAGGATAAAAATACCACATTAACCTTACTATATTCTTACATAACAAAGTAAAACATTAACATTAAGCCTCTTTTTTACTATTTTTGAAAATTTAATTAATATATCTAAAAGACCTGCAGGCTCCAAACACTACCCAGAATTTTTTTTAATATATCCGCGCCGGGCCTATTTTTTATAAAAATTTATACATTATGTCTAATATAATTTTTAAAAATTCGTAGCCAGACCTGAAAATTATTTTTTTAAATAATAAGGGCCGGGCCTAAAATTTTTAAAACATGGCTGGGCCGTTATCCCGTAAATCGCCCTACCCCGATCTCCCATATATTTTATTTTCTAATATAATAGGCTATTTCCTAATCATTTTAAATTTTTTAAATTTAAACGCAATATTTTTTATTTTCTAAGAACCTGTGAATATATTTTAGAACATTGCTTCCATAAAATACAAAGTAGGGGAGACCGAGGATAGTTCGTATATTTTTTGACTAATCTGAATAAGTATAGCGTATTCTGAATCCCATAATTATAGACTTTTTGAAATAATTAATATATATTTTATATAGACTTTATTTTTTTAATAAATTAATTTAAAAAAATTTTTTTTGTCCCAACCTTGACAGACTCTGTGTACGTTGGGACACACATGTGTGATAGTAGGGAAACTCATCAAATAGAGGTCTAAATAAATTTAAACATTTAAAATCAGTTATCCAGTATACTATTAGCAAATTTATTGTAATTCATAACCAATAACGATATTAAATAAAATTTAGCAAAATTTAGGAAATTTATTTTGATTTTACATAAAAATAGTGAAAAATAATAGAAACCAAACATTTTTATTGTAATTCCGCATTAATAGTAAATGAAATAAGCTGAAATGGCGTGTCCAAATTATATATAAATAACATCTAAAATCATATGAATTCATGTTTATTGATTATCAAAATTTGTAAGATTGAAAAATAGGAGCTTTTCCTTGTATCTTGCTTATTTGCGACATAAAAGTTTTATAGTTTTTTATTAGATCATATTTAATGATTTAAAGCATATAATTAATATATAAAATCATTTATAAAAAAAATGAGAACATTATCCACAATCTATGGAAATAAAGATAGGATTAACTGCAGCATATTTCATAAATTTATTAAGATATTATTTTTTTAAACTATTTATAGAATAATTAAATTAATATTTATTGTTTTTTTTAACAAAAAAGTATAGCCTTCTCGTCTCACAACGTCAAAACTAAAAGATTCAAAGTTCATATAACTTAAGCAATAGCGGGGCAAATAATTAATATAGTATAAATAATGTAATATTGTTTAGCTAATATTAGAGAAAGTTTGTACAGTTAGAACAATGCATCCAATTATTTTTTTGTAATAACAATATAAATAGTTATTTTTAAGTTTAAATATTACCAATTATTAAAGTCCTATAATTTGAAATTTTTGACTATAATTATTGAAGGTAAAAGGGCATATAAAAATAAATATATTATATTATTATATAAACTATAAATAGATATCGAAGATGAAAACAACATCATATTATAGTTTGGTCAATGATTGAAATTGGAAAACTAAATCGTGATACGTCGGAAACAACATTCTATAAAGACTACCGTGATTGAAACACCCACATTATTTTACAACAAACGAATATTTACATTTTTTTACCTATTACGATTGTATATAATAATATGTAATATAAATGGTATTTTATTAAAAAATATGTTTTAGTAATCTTACAAATCAATGATTTAACAACCTCTACAAAATATTAGGACTCATCCAAGTTTGAAAATATAAATCATTCAAAATTCCAAAAACCAATGTATACTTTCAGAAAAGTATTGTAAAGCTACTACTAAATTATTATCATCTTAGTATTCCAAATCTTTCAGTTACTTATCAAATCCTAATTATTACAATGATATTCAAAACATCATATTCTAAGTATTACAATGATATTCAAAACATCATATTCTAAGTATTACAATGATATTCAAAACATCAAATTTTAATAATGTGTATAATAATTATTGCCATTCAGCCGGACTCTTTATAAACAATACTGGGTTTTGTCAACTTTACAATCTATACTCACATACCCTCAAACTTCAATGTCAACAATTTGCAACATCTGTGCAAAACTAATTAAAGTGACAAAGGGTAATCTATTATACAAACATACTTACAAAGGATCAACATGTCCTTCCTCTCAAAAATCTTCAACCAATGAAATTTCAACAATACCCAAACCCTTATTCAATATTATTGAGCCTCATCCTCCCCCTATCAACACAGATTTTCTTGAAAGATTTTTTGAATGGAAAAAAAGACCCACTTTAACACATCTACCAAATAAATCTAGAAACCTAATTTCAAATTTTGTTATTAAACTTATCACAAAAGTTAATTATAACTTAAATTGCTTAAAATCATGGGAAGATTTATTAACCTTCTCTCATAAATGTCTTATACGTCCTGCTAACAAAGAAACCCCATTACATGAACAAATAAAATCGAACATTGATAATTTTGACAATATTCAAATGATTAACTACAATCATAATGTTAAAAAGCAAGTAGATGATATAACATACAAATGCAAAATTATATTAAATAAAATAGATCAAGGTGACATAGGTGGTGCAATTAAACTCATATCCTCAGATAACCATCTTTCTCCTATCAATGAAGAAACATTACAACTATTGAAACAACTACATCCTGAAGCTTCTACAGATAATCTACCCATCTCTCCAATCCACCAGACTGTAATTTTTACCAGTGATGAAATTGTCAATACTATCAATTCTTTCAATAAAAACTCAGCAGGTGGTCTTGATGGTTTCAGACCCTCCTATTTTCAATACTTAATTAATCCAAAAAATTCTTCCCATAGTTCTGTCATCAAGGTTTTAACAACTTTTTGTAATAACATAATAAATAATGATATTCCAATACAAACTCACCAAATCCTTTTTGGTGCACGTCTAATTGCTTTATCTAAGCCAGATGGTGGTATCCGTCCTATTGCAGTAGGCTCTTTTTCAGAAGATTAATAGCCAAAATCATAATTGAACACATCAAACATGATGCTGTCAACATATTAAATTCTTATCAACTAGGTTTTGGGATCAAGGGTGGCTGTAAAATAGCGGCTCATACATTAAGAATTTACTTAGAAAACCCACCACCTGATTCTGTAATATGTAAACTAGATTTTAAAAATGCCTTCAATAGCCTACATCGTACCTCATTTTTAAAATTCTTCTATGAAACATTTCCCGGTTATTCTAAATTTATTGAATCCTCATATGGTTTTCAGACGCCTTTGACATATGGATCTTATCAGATTTTATCCCAAGAGGGCATCCAACAAGGGGATCCATTAGGACCTCTTCTTTTTTGTTTTGGAATCCATCATCTCATCTACCAAATTAAACAAAATTTTAACCTAGATCTTAATCTATGGTATTTAGACGATGGGACCATATGTGGCCCTTCAGCTAATGTACTAAGCGCCTTAAAACACCTGGAAATCAATTCCCAAGCTATCGGCCTGGTACTCAACATAAATAAAACAGAATTATGTTTCTTAAACAATAAGCCACAAAAGTTGGAAGGCTACAAAATCATTGCTCCTGACAGCTTAACCTTACTTGGGTCCCCATTAGCTAATGCGACCAAATCGGAAGATTTTCTCAACAAGATTTTTAAAAGCTTTTACAGTATGGAGCACATTCTTAGTCTCCTACCAGCTCATCAATCTTTATTTTTAATTCGCAAATGCCTGCACATACCTAAATTTATGCATATTTTCCGATCATCATCTTTTTTCAAAAACAATGAATTCATATCTAAAATTCAGGATAAATTTAAAATATTTCTGGAAAAAATTTTAAACATAAATTTAAACTCATTCAATTGGTCACTTGCTCAGCTACCTTCTAAACTAGGAGGTTTAGATTTTTTTCCGCTCAATCTTTTATCCTTATCATCATTCGTATCATCTAGATTATCTAACAATTCTATTATTTCTGGCTTCATATGCCCTACCGATCGTTTATTAGACGACGCTATTGACAAATGGAAGGCAAACACACCCATTAACACCGTATTACCATCAATCATCACACACAAAAATTTTTTCACACCTTTAATCTCTAAATACCAGACAGATATATCAGTCAATCCACCTTTAGATTGCATTCAACTCCTTCAATTATCTGACAGACTTGGTGGTCATGAATGGTTAGAATCACTCCCTAGTCGCAACCTTGGTAATCTCTTATCAGATGAACAACTGAGAGTAACCATTGGTCTACGTCTAGGTTGCGATATAATACAGCCTTATGCCTGCGTCAAATGCAAATCACCCGTTGATTCAAAGGGTAGACATGGCTTAAATTGCATTTTTAGTCAAGGGCGACATCAACGCCACTCAGCTGTAAACCATATAATAAATAGAAGTTTAACAGCTGCACACATTCCTAACAATCTCGAACCATCAAATTTATCTCAAGTAGATGGTTTAAGACCTGATGGTATGACACCTTGGGCCCTCGGCAAATCACTCATATGGGACTACACGTGTGTTTCATCATTCCCTTCAAACATAAATTTCAATTTAATAACACAGGCTGAAATTAAAAAGATAAACAAATACAAAAATTTTAAAAACTTTTTATTCACTCCAGTTGTGACTTCTACTAACGGGCATTTTTCGCCTTCAACATTTTTGTTTTTAAAAAATCTTGCTAATAAAATACGACTTTTCACAAATGAACCAAGAGAATTCCTTTTTATTCGACAAAAAATTCAAATAGAAATTTTTAGACACAATTATGGTTCCTTTTTGGGGACTCAATTATAGAATTTTATTTTTAATTATATAATTATAATTTATAAATTATAATATTTTTAATTAGGTGTTATGTGAAATAAATAAATATAATAATAAAAAAGAAAAAAAAAAAATTATATTTAATAAATTGTATATTTCTTGAAATAATAAATGGTATATTTATCTGATTAATAAAATTATTTGTTTTATAAATTTGGTGAATATAGTAGGAGAGACTGCGGTTAGTCTAACCTATTTTTAAAAAATTGGCTATAGTTTCTGGTTTTTTTTACATAATATAAAAAATAAAATATGACTAGATACCGAAAACAATACTTTATAAAGGGGCCTTATAAAAAAATTTAAGAATATATTTATTTTTTTTAAATTTTATTTTTTGTAAAAGTCAAAATTATGTCTAACAATCTCCAATAGCGGGGTGAGGCAAACCACTTCAAGGGGCTTCCTAAACCATTGGTTTTTTAAGGCCATAATAAATTGAAATGTATTTTTATTTATTAATAATGATACAAATAGAATAATTTTGTTGTATTGTAGTATATATCATATACTTATAAATTGAGGCTAATTATATATAAAAATTGAAACTTAATTTTGGTTAATTTAATAAACATTTTGGACATAAAAAATAAAGATCTTAAGGAGAGATTATGATAGCATAACTCCTAAATACCAATTATAAAACAGACATGAATTGCCTTTACAAGATTTTGAATTTTTTTTCATTATTAACTGCTTTAATTGACTTGTATGGTTTAGCAAGCGCCGCTAGCTCTAAATTGACAAATTATGATTGAAATAATATCTAGATATAATAAATACACATTAAACTTTTCCAAATTATAGAAGAGTGTTTAAAATTAGCTATAAAATTTAATTTACATATAAATGATTATATATTATAATAAAAATTAAAATTCTATCATGTAAAAATCTTTTGAAAACTTCATCAAAATTTTATTTCTTAAATAAAATTTTTAATAATTTAATATTTCAAAAGATTTTTTGTCTATAGATGTAAACTAATAAAAACTATATTAGGATAAAATATTAACCTTCTGGTATATTTAATTTTGAAATGAGATTAAGTGGTTTGCCAAGCCCCGGGGTCCTAACCCCAGTCTCCCATATACAAAACATATAAAATGATAAATTTTTAAATAAATTTTAACTATTAATGTAAGATTAGAAAGTTATTTTAAAAAACTTATTACTAACATAAATGAAAAATAAATTATAATTATAATATTTTCTAATTCATCAATGTTAAATGTATATTAATCTTTTGACCGAATCTGATTTTGAACACTCAACTTTGTTTGATTTAACACATTGATTTAATATGATATATATCTATCTATCTATCTATATATATAATAGCCGTAATCAAAAAATGAACGTTTTCGTATCTTGGTAATGTTAATTTTTTTTCTATCAACTTACCTATCTTAACGTTAATTTCACTTTCCTATCTCCTAATGTTAAAATTTTTTTTTTCTATCAACTTTCCTATCATCTTAATGTTAAATAAATCGAGAGCTATTATTATCTCGCTAATGTTAAAAAAAATTTTTTTAAATTTTTTATGGCAACACTAGATTCAAACTCGCAACCTATCGTTCGGAAGGCAAACGTTCTAACCATTGAGCCCCCCCATCAATATTATATTTTGAATATTTGTATATATATATTAAAAAATTTTTTTTTATAAAATTAATTTAATTTAATCAGAACAGAATGACGGGGTTGATGGGTAATTACTAATTAGTTAGGTGTATACGATACTAAATATGCTTTATTAATATATTTCATAAAAATATTAATATTTAAGAGAAAAAGAGGTAAAAATGTTGCAATGTAAGGGTATTAGAAATATCATAATTTACATTTGTGATAGAAATCAACTTGGGTAAAATT